AAACTCACAAAGCCTCCAACTATGACCTCTTCCCTGAGCACTAGCTTATTTCTATGAAACTCCGTGAAAATTGTCATTGCTTTAAATCTGATACATCTCACCCTGAGTTTTACGTCGTGTTCCCAACAAATCCTCTCAATTTTTCTGAGAGAACAATGCTATATTATACTCTCAGCCATGAGGCTTCTACCTGCTTTAACTCTTCCTTTTCTATTGTTCTTCTCACCAAATTAGTGTCCTAATCCCGCTGGTGAGTCCTTAGAATGCCTTTTATTAATATATCCATTGTTCTCTCCAATTCCTACTTGCATAACCCTTAAAAATGTTTTTCTTTGCCTTCTAATTTAAGATACATAACATCTTTTGAAATTTGACAATTAGTTACAGATTAAAAAATATATATAGAATCCTATTTTGAAAAAAAAAAAAACAAACGTGAAGAAATATATTAGATATTCTTGGGAAACCTAAATAGTCCAAGAACATCCTCCTCTTTGTGGCTGGTTACCCCACCTGCAAGCAGAGGGCGTGAAAGCAAAGGAACAGCTTGAAAGTGCTCTTCCTACTAACTCAAATGCGTAACAGTCAATGGGCATATGTTCATTCAGGTTAAATTTCAGTGCTTTTCTTGGTAGTTCCATTTCATAGGCAGAAAGCTTTCTATATTAGTGCTAGGATAGACTCTGGACTGGAGTCAGAAGACCTGGGTCTCATGGGAGGGTCTGCTAGGGCTAAAAGACCTGTGCCTATTTTCCTTATCTCTACACTGAAGGACTTGGACATGATTGACCTTTATGCTTACTCTATTTGTAAAATCTATTGTACCTCTAAGATTTATAGATGATTGTGTGTGATATTCTTGATTTTACCCTTAAAATTATATTGGGCAAAACCCAACATAATATGATAGATGCAAACATAATTTTGGTATGGTTACAATTCCAATCATTTCTCTCTTATTTTCCCTAAGTGACTGAGGAAATCTGATATAGCCTTAATAATTTTGTCACCTATTATTAAAAGTAAGTGTATGATCTATCTACCTACCTACCCTTCAACTTATTATAGCTAACACTTATTTCCCTTCACATAGAACGTATGAATGTATGTTTACACACTATGGAGAATATCTGACAATCTCACGGTTACTTTAAAAGGACTGCATTCCATCTTGCTTTGGAAACAAACCATGTGGTTATTATGCTCATAGCTTGAAATGTCCCATCAACAGACTATTGTTGGTGATGGGGAATTCCAGGCTGTTGAGTGGGAGAGAACAGACTGGGAGCTCTTTCATAATCAGTGGCTCCCTGGTTGCCATTATAACTGTGGCTTGAAAGAATTCTTTGTTCTTTGTCCAGGCTTAGCAAGCACTCTGGGACTTTTAGCGGCAGCTGGTAGGGGATCAGAGCTAAAAAGTCATGGGATTCCAGCTCTGGACAGCATCTTAGGAGGTAGTACAGCAAGGTAGTTAGGAGCACGGGCTCTGAAGTTTGCTAGTTTGGGTTTGAACTCCAGCTCCACCCTTTACTAGCTGTGTACTCTTGAACAAGTTGCTTATCCTTTCTATCACTTGTAAAAGGAATGGTATTTCAGGCTTCACAGGGGAATTGTAAGAATGTGATAACGTAGTGCTTTGCATAGTAAGCACTGAACGCTTTGCATAGTAAGTACTGAACGCTTTGCATAGTAAGCACTGAACGCTTTGCATAGTAAGCACTGAACGCTTTGCATAGTAAGCACTGAATGCTTTGCATAGTAAGTACTGAACGCTTTGCATAGTAAGTACTGAACACTTTGCATAGTAAGTACTGAACACTTTTAAGTCACTATTAGTAACAGAAAACTCCCTCACTTTATAGAAAAGGAAGAGAAGCTCCAGGTGCCACGGTGAGTTAGTGGTCCAGTGCTGGAAGGGACCACTCCTGACTCCCCATCCTGCTTATAACTTGTGCTAGTTCTTTGGAATCATCTGCCCTACCCCAATAGCTCATTGAATCTGAAATGGAAGAAGATGAGAAGGTGGTGACTAAGCAGATACATACGTGGTAGCAGACCATCTCTCCTTCTGTAGCCCCTCTGCTGATTTTTCGTTTCTAGACGTCTCTTGCACTAATGCCTCACTTACTAGTCTGTTACTACCCTCAGTATTTATGAACAAGACTATGTCAAAAGATGTATCGACTTCAGGTTGTCATTAGTAATTGCTAAATGCTCACAGTTTGATAAACAGAAGGCTTTTTTTTTTTTTTTTTTTTTACTTTTTTAAGAAAACAATGATCATTGAATGAAATGGTATCATATCTTTGACTTCACTGTCTCCTTTGCCCCCACTGCAACCTCTGATATTTACCAGAAGAATAAGCTACACCCTGCATGATGGCTAGCAACTCACTGCTTTATCACTGAATGAGTGCTACATGCCATTTCAGTGTCTGGGAGAGTGGAGCCTGAATGATATCCCTTAGATGAAGCCAAGGTTACTAAGATCTGTGCTCCAAGTTCCTCCTGCCCTGCCTGGTCTACTACTTCTGGGTCGTTGCCTACCAATTCCATTTGATGTACTTTTTGGTAATACTTAAGAAAAAGAACATCAATGGTCAGTGTCTTAAAAATAAATAATCATCAGAAAATTAATAACACAAAAGAATCAGTTGGGTTCTCTAAATACCTGAAGCTGTTTATAAGCCTCCCTGCCATTGTAAATATTTTTTGATGCCCACTCTTAAGAATAGTGACTGTCATTTATTGACACTATGTGTCTGGCATATTACTTGCTGGGGATCACCTCATCAGTAAGCGGTAGGGCCAGAACTTAATCCCACTGACTCTGCTGTGAAAGCCTGGGTTCCTGGGCGTGGCTCTAATTTGCATTTGAAAAGTGAATGTCTGTCCATTGTCAAAGATTTAGTTCAAGCTCTTTCTAATTTTTAAAAATTAGAAATAATCCAGTATGGGACTGATTAAATAAGTAATGATATATCTAAGGATGAGAATTAAAATTCATTGACAGGAAAAAATAAAATTTTATGAGTGAAAAAACTTTATAAATCAACACCACTAGTAAAATTCTAGTTTTGTGGAAATCATTGCACCTCACTCCCATATGTACAATATCTAGCTCTCTATCCAGAGAAAACATCTGGAGGGACACACAACAATATGGTTAACAATGGGAATGCTCTGTGTTATGTGCCCTCCAAATTCCTATGTTGAAGCCTTAACCCCCAGTGGGATGGTATTTGGAGATGGGGCCTTCAGGCGGTAGTTAGGGTTAGTGCTAGAAGAGGACATTCCTGACTCATGAGGTCATGAAGGCAGGGGCCCCATGATGGGACTGGTGCACTTATAAGAAGAGAAACTGGAAAGCTTGCTCCCTCTTTCGCTGTACACGAAGAGGTCATGCGAGCTCACAGCAAGATGGCGGCTGCCTACAAGCCAGGAAAAGAGGCCTCAGAGTGAAACTTACCTTGCAGATACCTTGATCTTGAACTTCTTACCCTCCAAAACTGTGAGGAATAAATTTCTCTTGTCTAAGCTACCTGGTCTATGGTATTAGAAAGCAGATCAAAGAGAGCAAGTAAGTTTCCCAAGGTGACAGTTAAATGGCTGAGCTAGGACATCAGCCTGAATTGATCTGATGTCCACTTTATCCCTAGTGAGTGTGCATAGCAAATGCTCAATAAATATTTGGTGAATGAGGGTTGGCTAGCTGGACGGATGGACAGATAGGAGACTGGATAAAAGGATGGATGGGTATCAATCCTGCAGACTGATACACTCCAGGTGGTGGAATTCTGGGTAAATTTTGCTTTTTTAAAACTACTTTGTTACTTTCTCTCTATGCAGAAGGAGCAAAAAGTATTCTTATAATAGTAGCTCAGCAATATATCCCCAAAAGCATACAAGATAAGGAACATCACATTTCTCAAACGTCACCTCCTTGGGAAACTCTCTCTAGATCTTCCCAGGTACTTGCTTCTTGTTTTGTTTCACGGGCCTAACTTTTAGAGCTCATGTCTCACTATCTTGCAGGGCTTTTGGAGTCATATACCTAAGGGGTATGTAAAGGTGGGGGGCAGCTATCAATCCATCTTTATACCCCTAAAGACTACACTGCTTGAAAACCACAATGGGCTCCATAAACACTTTTGCAATAGTGAAGAAGTAGAAGGAATAACGCCGCACATGAATGCTCCTGAGATGCCTCTGCCTATTCTGGTGTGATTGAATTCTGTCTCCAGCAAAGGGAGGAATAGGGTGAATGTTGCTATGTTTCTCTTTGCCTCCATGGGAAGAAGTAATTAGAGTAACCAACATCATGGAGAAAACAGCCATACTCCCTAAGAAGCCAGAGTTGGGGGAGAATAGGGATCTGCCTTCTCTGTGCTACCTGACGGGTGAAAGGCCCAGAGGCATTGAAGAGGAGGAGTTTCAGAAGAATGTTGGCCTTGGAATTATCCACCCACCTATCTATCCATCTGATCATCCATCCCATCCATCCATCCTTTTATCCAGTCTCCTATCTGTCTATCCATCCAGCTAGCCAACCCTCATTCACCAAGTATTCATTTAGCATTTGCTATGCACACTCACTAGGGATAAAGTGTTAAACAAAACGGACATCAGATCAATTCAGGCTGGTGTCCTAGCTCAGCCATTTAACTGTCACCTTGGGAAACTTACTTGCTCTCTTTGATCTGCTTTCTTTATGTGCACATTAGGGATTCTAATCTCTACAGTGAAAAGGGTTAGAATAAATATTGTCCATTTATGGAAATCACTTAGCACAGTAGCAAAACCACAGTAGGTGCACCACAAACAGTAGCTTTGGCAGTACTCTATCTCCCCCAAAGACCCCTGCCTACCACCCTCCTGCTGCATAGGACAGCATTTCTGCATGATCTTCATACACGGCAGCAACAAGGACCTGTGGGACGACGTTTATCTGGGAGTGGAGTTGAGGCCCAACGAGAGTCGGTGGCATGTCTGAGGCTTACCGGCCCTTGAAGAGCAGGAGCTCCTTCCCCAGCATTGTCACTGCGTCAAAGGATGAGCTGGAGTCACAGAGGTCGGGGGTGGATGGCTTGTGAGCGGGGGCATGGGGCACCATGGGCTTCCCCAGGAATGGTTTCCGAGGTCCTAGGATTCAAAATGACTTGGTCAAAATGGTAACGGGAATTTGGAGTTCACACACTTCTGTTCTAGATAGAGTGCCAGGGGAGGTTGTACACTTTCACCCTGGACATATGATCATGACCATGGCTGTTGAGGGCAAGTAGACTGGGGTTTGAGTCCTGGCTCTCCTGGTTGCTGAGCTGTGTGATTTGCCGCACATTATTTAACTTTTTAAGCCTCAGCTTCCTCACTTGTTAAAAGGGAGGGATGAAAATAGTACTCACCTCAGAAGGCTGTTGTGAGAATTAAATAATTCCTGTAAAGCGGGTAGCAGAGTGCTTGGCACATAGTAAGTCTTCTAAAGATCATTATTTTATTATAGAACGTCTTTGATATCTACAAGTGTTCCAGATTAGAAATGTAATTTAAAAATTGGCATGGATTATTTCTTTGTAATTAAGTTCTCTTTTTCTCAATAAGAAAATTTTCTTGTGTGTTTTCCTATTATTTTCATAGACTCCTTGGCACCCTGCCCTGTGCTTTTGTCCTTTACTAGGCATCCAGGAAAAACTGAGCGAATTCTTGTGGAATTGAAGTACACTGAAAGTGTTTGTTACTTAAAAGTATCTTCTGGTGGATCGTCTTGGAAAACATGGACTCAAATCTTGCGAGAGCTGTCAGTGAGTCTCCTCTCCTGCTCTGCATCTCTGAGGACCTTGCCTCAGCTCCAGAAGAATGGATCTGCACAGCTGGGACTGTCGCCTCTGGTGGGGTCCCTGCTCTTTGATGAGGCCTCGTCATAACCACAGTTGAGAGTCAGGGAAGGAATGAGGCACAGGGAAGGGAAAGGTTCAGGCCTCTGATAAGGGTCAGATGAGGTTTGAGATCAGGGATGGAGTAGGGGTTAGCAGCAAGGTGAAGATCAGAGGCGGGGTAAGGCTTTGGGAGAAGATCGAAGCTGGAAATTGGAGAGGGTCAGCAGCGGCAAGCGACTGGCTGGGTGATATGAATGCTCCCTTGTAACATAAACCCATGTTTTCACATTTCATTCACCTGTGTCATAATAGCCGTGCCAAAATATGTGCTTTGCCTCCTGGCCGAGTGACAGTGGCCATCCGAAGGCAGTGACTTTCCAGAGCACAAGGACCTCTAAAGGCAAGTGTTTGAGCTCAGCCCTTCTCAGTGGCCCACAGAAATTGCTTCCCATTGGAGCGCTGCCACCAAGGCTCTGGAGTTGAGTTTGTGACATTCATGGTGTTTTTCCTGTCCCTCAAGGGTCAGGCAGATCTGGTGCTTTCCCCCTCCTGGAAATGGATAGAGCTGGCTGAAGACTTCTTGGGATGAAATTTGCCTTTTGTGCCTCAGGTGAAATCTGACCAATTTTGAATGGTGTGCCCATTTCTGGGCTTCCCACCCTCCAGATCCCCTGGGGCCAGATTCCTAGTGCCCCAGGAAGGTGCTGGGGGATCTGGGTCTCTAGGCACTGAGAAGATGGGGAGAAGCTCTGATAAGCAGAAGCCTAATAACCAGGTCTCCAGGGCTCAAGGGAAAAGCAGTTTCCTAGATCTTTTTGCCTTTTATCCATTAAAGAAAAATTGTCAAGGTCTAAGGATGTTTCAAGATTCCTTCTGATGGATTAATTGGTTTGTTTTTCCCTTAAGGAAAATTGGATACAGAGTTTCTAATAATCCCTCATTACCTTTTAGAAGAATGCTAATACTTGAGGTAGCTTATCTTAGGATACTTACTGCCTTTGAACCTCAGCTTTCTCAGCTATCAAACGAGGAAAACACTTCACACCCCACAGGTTAGTCGTGAGACTGGTATAAGACTACACACATGAACCTGTTTTGTAAACTGCAGATCGGCTACATGGCTGGGCGTGGAGTTATTTTAATCATGATTGCTATTTTTAGGGAGATAAGGCCACTTATCTGCAAATGGGTAAGCACCACGTATAAGAACTATAAACTACATCCATCCTCTCCCAATGTGTAAATTCTAACCTGCACTCAAAGGAAAAACACAGACAGACAATGACTATATTTTTTAAGGCTATCCAGGACTAATATGCTCTAAAGGAAAGGTGTAAAATTTAATCACACATTACACACATATTTATAACTGGCAAATGAGCTCTTCACAAGAAGGCATAGTTGGGGCTATCGTTTCTAGATTGATCTTTACCAATGCAGATAAAATGCACTTTCTTTAAGTTGGAGACTGAATGCCTGCCAATTTCAGGGTTAGTGGTCAAAGAAGGTAATAATCTTACCGTATAATGCCTGGATCCCTTTCACATCATCTTTGGGGAGGTGGAATCCATAGGGATTCTGGTACTTATACGTTGGGTACATCAGTGCTGATGGGTCTGTGGAATGGGCCAGGCCCAGGGCATGACCAAATTCATGAGCAGCAACGGTAAACAAATTAAAACCTAGACAATATGAGAGAGAAAAAACAGTATCACCACAGGTTTTTGTTTTCTCCATCTTCCATTTTTATAGGATAATTTATGCCCACATCACAGTTAACTCATCTCCTTTTCCTAACTGGATTATTCAAAGGTTGGTAGGTTATTCTGACACTTAGCTTTGGTGACTTAAATTTTCCCCCTCTTGGCTAGAAGGGGGTTGGAGGTCGGGGAGGATGGAAATGCACATCAATCCATTTTGCTCATCATCAGTGATGTTTGGTAGACTGATAAAGGAGAGCCTTGGAGCAAATAGTGGCAATGATATTTGGGAATAATTCATAAATTTAGACCACAAATGCCTTAATAGTTCCCTGCTATTACAGCCTACACCTTTTGATCCACATGTTTCACACTGAAGATTTCCAGATGACCTGTATGATATTCTGGAACCTTTATTCCCATCCCCATCACACTTCTTAGGACAGTACTGATTCTCTCGGGTCATTTCTGAATGTAGCCTATTTCCAAGAACAAGTAAGAAATCATAAATACTAGGTTGTTGAAGGAAACGAGAGCAGTGCGTTGAGAAGGGGATGACCAGTTCTTCATATGCTATGAAACAGATCAGACAAGTCTACAACACAATTTGGGGTGGATTTTTTTCCCTTATGTGATCCCTTTTGGATTTTTGGCTTACTTGTTTTTCCTAGCCAGCCCCCCTAGTTAAAGGGTGGCTTGGGACGTTGAACCTCAAGGTTTCATGATGGAGCCCAGAAGAAGGTACAATATTTTCCAGGTTATGGTGAATTGTGCATATATACCATTCGTTCCCATAGTCCACTTCTCAGCATTGTCGAAATGTGTATCTCCTCCCAGGCCTTCTCCAGGAGCAAATGCATGGGCTAGAGTCCCCCGAGGCCCATCGAATGGATAGGAATCCCCATGATCTAAACAAGTGGGGAGAAAGGCCAACAGGATTGAGTCCTTCTAGCAATTTTGAGGGCACATCATATTACAGAAAATGGACATTTTGAATAGCATTGACACTTAAATTTACTTTTCAGTATTTATTTGTTATAATAGGAAGTTCACTTGTCAATGAGTAACTGCCCATTGAAAAATAAAAGAGGCTAATTCATACTGCAAAGATAGTAAGCATTAAAAATAAAAAAAAAATAACACCTTTTTTGGGTTATTGTTGCTATCACAACATCTGTTAACTGACACATAGGATGCTGTGGACTTTGCACATGCCATGGATTACAAAAGGAGAACTAACCAGGGGGCATTGGATGGAAAAACCTACTCCACTGATTGGAATGTGAACCTGTTGGCAGAATGACCTTTCAAATTTGATTCAGCTGAGATAGTGATAGTGAATTGAACAAGTGTGTGCTTTTTGTTTCTATAGCACAATACAGTTTAAGAAAGTGTCAAAAATTTATCTGTAATTTTGACATACTTTCATGTGGAAAACTTATGAAAGTCATAAAGGCATTTATAAAATCCTAACTTTTGAAGCTTTTTTATGTTTTTGTTTAATTATCTATTTTAATTAACAATTCATTACAAATTTAATAGAAGAGGAGGAGGAAGAACAAAATGAGGGTTATAGTTTACCACTTTAAAAAACCTTAGTAAGGATACCCAGTTTTAGTTTTTTTTTTTTTTTTTTTTTTTTTTGAGCCGACAGAACAAAGTTCTGGTATGCCATTTCTCAGGTTTCAGTGACATGCAGTCTACTCAGGTGCCTGCACGGAGGACTTCATGCAATGGCATCACAACTAAGTAGACTAGCACAGTTCCTGTGTTGGCTTGTGTATTAGGGGACAGACTGCAAGCTTGAAAGATCAAGAGAGAGCCAGACATTCATTCCTTGGCCTTCAAAGCTACCCCAAGTCACATTGCCCTCCCTGCCACTTCACCAGGGGTGGCCTTTGTCCTTTGGGAGGAATAGGACCTGCCCTGGGCCAGGTCACACCCAGGACCATTTCTAAAGGCTCTATTCTCAAAACTTGCTTGATCTTCTCTCTCCTAGCTCCTAAGCATGTTTCCCCCTCAGTGACATCAGATTCAAATTAAGATCTGGACTTGAAATGACAAGGACACTTAGAAATGTTATCTGAGGAGGGGAATAGGTAGTAGCTCTCACTTACCCTGACTGTTACAAAGCTGAGAAGGAAAAGAAATTTCATGAGCCATTTGGCCCTCCCTTTATCTATTTCCTAGACTTGCTTCTCTGAAAAGGGATCAGAGTGAGCCATTTGGCCCTCCCTTTATCTATTTCCTAGACTTGCTTCTCTGAAAAGGGATCAGCGCTCTCACCAATCCCTGTGCAAACTTACGCCTGGGTGAGCAATGGAATGGAGAAGAAGTGGGAAAGTTGGAGGCAGACCTCTCACACATCTCCCAAAAGGTGGTCTGCAAGTGTGGGCAAGATAGGAACGACACTTTCCTAACCATTGCTGCAGGGGGAAAGCTGTATCAAGGTCACTGTGGAAGGTATTTCCTTCAGTGAGGATTCATGGTGGGATATTCTTGGCTAATATGGAAGGGGGTATATAAGTGATAAACACCATCATGGGAATGGATGAGGTCATGTGGCTAACGGGAAAGCAAAATCTGCAAGAATTTGTCCCCTAGTGGGGCAAAGTCATAGTGAAAGTTTGTTACAGTGAATCTACTCTACAGCTGTATCTGATGATGACAAGACATGCTAAGAACTCCTATTTTCTTGATTCTATTTTCCGGCCAGATGAAGATCATGGCTTTGTCATGGTCTTGGCCTTGGCCCATCACAGCACTGTGTGAAGGAGAAGTGTGTGATCACTCGAATTAAAGATGTAGAAGGAACAGTATTGGGACAACTCTCCTTTGAATTAGTTGATGGAATCCAAGTACCACAATACCTCCATTTTCAAAAGATATCATAATATCCGCTTCTCCTGAGTTTATTCTGACAAAGCTCAGAGGGACGGCGCTACTCCAGGCCTGCAAGGCCATCTGCACTGCTTTTTCCACCTCGGCAGAACTCATGGAGGTTGTGTATTTAGATACTCTGTGAAAACGGAAGAAACATGTTTTCTTTTCAGTAACTGCTCCAAAGAAGGCAAGAATTATATGCTGTATTCAAAAAATGTTAAATATAAATCTACAATTTAGATTTTTTTCTCTGAAGTGATAATTCTTACTTTGCTTTATTATATGTTAAATTGCTTCATGTGAAACAACAAGACAAATGAAAGGGAGAGATGAGAGAAGTTGGGATAATCCAGTACTGAAACCGTTTAACTTTCTTTGTTATTATACTACCTCCGACTTAAAAGAATAAAATTTGTGGCCAGGCACAGTGGCTCATGTCTGTAATCCCAGCACTTTGGAAGGCTGAGGCGGGAGGATCACTTGAGGTCAAGAGTTCGAGATCAGCCTGGCCAAGATGGTGAAACCCCCATCTCTACTAGAAATACAAAAATTAGTTGGGTGTGGTGGTGCAAACCTGTAGTTCCAGCTACTCGGGAGGCTGAGGCAGGAGAATCATTTGAACCCGGGAAGTGGAGGTTGCAGTGAGCCGAGATCCGGTGATTGCACCCCAGCCTGGGTGACAGAGTGAGACTTTGCTCAAAAATAAATAAATAAATAAATAAATAAAACTTGTGAAATGTCACAGGTAGTAAGTAGTCCATTTTTCTTAAAGTCGTTTTCATTGAGAGAGGACCTCTTTTTCCTCAAAGGGACTGGATGATTTCAATATAAAAAATAGAAATGTGGAGTTTTGAAGTTTTGCTAATTCTTATTCAGAGTTTATCAGGATTTCCCCAGGGCTGTTGGGGAAGGTTTTTTTCCTCAGAATAATGCATTCTTTTCTTCTTCTTCTTCTTTTTTCTCTCTCTCTCTCTTTTTTTTTTGTTTGAGACGGAGTTTTGCTTTTGTCACCCAGGCTGGAGTGCAATGGCATGATCTCTGCTCACGGCAACCACTGCCTCCCAGGTTCAATTGATTCTCCTGCCTCAGCCTCCTGAGTAGCTGGGATTATAGGCACCCACCACCACGCCGGGTTAATTTTTGTATTTTTGGTAGAGACAGGGTTTCACCATGTTGGCCAGGCTGGTCTCGAACTCCTGACCTCAGGTGATCCGCCCTCCTTGGCCTCCCAAAGTGCTCAGATTATAGGTGTGAGCCACTGCCCCCCAGCCCAAAATAATGCATTCTTAAAGAGGAAGGGCTAGCTTTAAAAGTGGAGGCTCACTGGAACTGAAAAAAAGTGAGACTTTCAGCAATTACTGGTATGACAATGACACCTGAAGGCAGAAAAATGTAGTGCTTTTTGGACTGTGGGTGGAGTCAGAGTTGGTGATTGTTCGAACTTTCTGCTCTGAAGCCCAGGGTCTGGGGATTTCTGGCAACATACAAAGGAAAGGCAGGAATGGCGACTTCTACCTGAGACCTTGGGCTGGGTTGGAATATGATGAAAGTGAGAAGCTGTGTCTGTGAGAGCCAACCCCATGAGCAGGGACGGGCCCTGCTTTCTCTCTCTCTATAGCTCCTAGTCTAGTGCCTTGCACATAGCAAATGCCTAGCAATTGCTTGATAAATAAATGAATGAATTAAATAATTAAAGCTAGCTGTTTTAGGGCCCACTCAGTGACTCTCGAAGTTTAGGACCCGTGATAATTACCTAGGAAGCTTGTTAAAGATACAGGTATGGTCCAGAAATCTGCGTTTTGAAAGGTATCCTAGGTTATTATAATGCAGACAGTGCAATTTCAATGAGAAACCAACAGCAATAATGCTGGGGTCCCAAGTGAAAGGACTGTGCCCACAGAAAGGATAGCAACTAGCTCAATTCAGGACTTGAGAGGGAAGGAACAAGGAGCTCTTCAATCCCAGGAGTTGGGGCCAAAAGAAGAGAGCTATCGAATTGAAAGGGGAGACCAGAAAGACCCTCAAAGGGACTATTTAATGCTTTCAAAATATGCCAAGCCCACTGTGTAATATGAGTCTGCAATTTATCACAACTAGGTAGACTTGTTACTTTGACATGCCGTCGCATTTTTGATAAGTCAGTCATATCTTTGAGCTGACAGTGTGTGTTGGCCTGGAGAAGACAGGGAAGGAGAGAGGGATAGCACCAGAGAAGAAGAGAACATGGAAAAATCCCCGACTCAGGGTCTGGAGCTTGATAAAGCAATAATAATACTAGCTAATATTCTTTGAAGTCACACTATGTGCTGTTGCTGCATACACTTTTTAAGCGGCATTTATCTAATCCTCACTACGACCCGTAAGAGGAAGATCATCTTCATCATCTACATGTTATGATTAATGAGGTTTAAGCCCAGTTCTGTCTGACTCCAAAGCTTATGCATATAAGCACTACGCTGTATTTTTTTTTTCCTTTTTGTAACCCTTTGGGTTATATTGCAAGAAGTTATTCTGAAAGTCAGTAGCTACACGGGCAGAGTACTGTGATAGCGTCTAGTGTCCTTTTTCATGGGGAGGGGACGGTGCAGTTGTTGGGGAGCAAGAGTGGATGGGCAGTGTGTGTGTTGAGGGGTTTTAAGATTGCCCACCTTATCGCAAGAATATTATACTTCCCTAAGTATCACATTGTCTTGACCCATGCTTCTCGTCTTTGTTGTATGTACATAGTCATGGACTAAAATTCCGGAACACAGTTTAAGAAAACTATGAAAACACTCTGTTGACGCATATACATTTTTCTTCCCTTATTCTTACTATCTCAGAATCGCTTTTGTGTTCAACTCCCTATGAGGTTTTTCTTCCCCAATTGCTTTGATGTTTTTGTTCAGCCTGCCACCTTATGGATTTATTGGCTGATAGCAGGTAACAAATGGCCTGTTCCCTGAGTTCTGGCCCCTCATTTAATCAAATGGACTCACTGGTGTGCCAGAACAGTTTAACAAGTGGCTCTACAAGGAGGAAAAAAAATCCCTTGATTTGTATGACTTGCTGATTTCTGTGTTGTAAATATTCTCACTATGGCTAATTCAAGCTACCAATTTACCATCACTGAATGCCAGGTTGTGAAGAGATGAGCATGAATGAGCCACCCAGATTATACAGATGTACATAGCCTCATGAGCAGAGAAAATAATAAAATGTAGTGAAATAAGAGGCAATATGTTTTTATTACCTTTGTTTTTAATATACTTTATTTAATATAATTATTTAATATAATTTACTAAGTAATTATAATTAAATAATATAAAATATAATAATATATTTTATTATTAGAAAATAATATATTTTAATAATATATTAATAAACAGTATATTTATTACTATAAAATAATATATTTTAATAATAAATATAAATATTAAATAATATAATTATTTAATATAGTTTAATATAGTGTAATTTAATTTAATATGATTTAATTGTAAATTTACATAATTTAACAATGGCTGTCTTAGCAACCAGCTCACAAAATTCTTGGGAGCTTAACAAGTGGCTGCAACCTTCCTGACATTTTAAGGATTGGCTTCAGTGAGCTATTAGGAGGCAGCTCTAGCACACCACTGCTTGGACTATTGCACAAGGCCAGCCTTTCCCCATCTCCAGTTATCATCTAGACGTGCTCATCCTAAAAGCAAAATCTGATCCCTGTCCTAGCTCTCCACTGCCCTGGAGATAAAGTCCAAATTCCTTAACATCACGCTCTAGTTGCCCTTAAGGCTGCCCCTCCAGCTTATTTCCTGCCATTGCCCTTCCTGGACCCTCTGCCACAGCCGCATGCCCTAGGCACTGGTGGTGGGAATGCTGCCCATCAACATGCCAGTCTGTCCACTCTCTGCTGCTATATGCTTGGTCTGGGTTTCTTCTTAGAAAACTCCTTACATGTGCAAGGCCTGGGGCAGGACCACAAAGAGTGGAGGCCACTCATCTTTTCCGACCTGTACCCATCTGGCATGCGTGAGGCCCACGCAGGCAGGCACCGTCCACCCCTACCTCAGGCTGAGGGGCAGGTACCATAATTTGCCCTCGGTTGTACCAACCTGGGGAGGAAGTCTGCGCTGGCCCCAGAATCAGGTCTGGCTCTGGGAGAGGGAATTCCAGCCTCTGTACCCTGAGCACTGCAGGGAGGGACAGAGGTTCTGGTTGGGTGTGTTCCCTTGGTTTACACAGGATGAAGTCAGAGGATTAGTGGGGGGAAGAAAGAGGGCAGGGAGGGAGTGAGGGGAGCTTGGGGCTAAGAGTGGAACTACTTCTACTTTGCCTTTGAATCAGGCTCAAATGTCACTGCCTGGTCCCTGGGACACTTGCTAGCTCTCTCCATGTGAACTGTGGTCCCACAGTTCACTGCTTAGAGCTATGATTTTGCACATTTCACACAGAGCTACAGCTGTCTGTTTGCATGTCTGTCTCTCCTTAAAGGACTGTGAGTTCCCTAAGGTCAACAAAGTTGACCTGTTCACCTTTATGTCCCTCAAATGGAATGCATTTTTTGAATCATCAATAAAAGATTTTTGGAGTCAATGAAATAAATTACTTTATTAGTAAGTTATATTTTTCTTTCTTATTAAGTAGGTTGTTTTAAGAAAACTGGTTTTTACTGCCAGGTCATTAATCCTAGACTAGATTAAAGATAGTTGTGTTGTTTCTAACTGATGAAATTGTTTGAAATGCCTAAAATAGCCAGTCATTATGATAATCCTAAGACCATATTTTCTGGTGAATTGCCCATTGTCATTGCCTGACAGATGGACGTAAACAGTTCTTATTCTTTCTTGCGGTTGTGAGGCGTCAGGATTTTTATACAGATGAGAAGGAAGATTTTTTTCAAGAAAAGAGAAAAAGAGAGAGGGAGTGTTTTTCTCTGAATTTGAAAAGACTTGATCTCATTACCTGTACGTCAAAATATTTTTTTTCCATTTGGGTTCACCAGGGAAGAGGCGATAATTGGCCACATCAGGAACTCCACAGCGCGGCTTCTTGATCACGTCCATTGTGGTCTGGTCTAACTTCCCGGTGACTCGGAGGCCAAAGAACGCCTGTAGCTCCTTAATCTTCCTTACCATGGAATTGCCTCCTCTTGCAACCATCTCACCAATCTGGTGTCCTTCTTTATTTGTGTAATATTTGTCAAGATACGCCTGAAATGGAGAGGCAGGCTGACATGTCTACAGCGTAGTCTGGGAAATACTCATGCTCAGGTAAGGCAGGGGACAGCATTCCTGATGTATTAAAAGCAGTGTAGAGTATTTTCCCATTTATGAAAAAGGCAGACATATTTGTATACATATAGCTTAGCTATACTCCAAATTACTAACAATGATTGGTTTTGGGTAGTGGGGATTATAGATTATTTAATTATTTCCTTTTGTCCACTTGCATTTTATAGTTTTTCTACAATGAATATAACAAATACGCATTTTTGCTTTAATTTTTTTAAAAGAAAATAATTCAGGGAAGGAATCTGATGTGAACATTATTTCCATGGATCACTTATTTGTCACTGAAGTTCTTTACCCAATTTGCAAAACAAAGGCTATCTGGTTTCTTTGGTAAACAGTTATTGGTATCATCTTTCCATTGTACATAATGCAAGATCAGTATGCTTTTAACCCTTGGAGGCATTGTATTCCAGTCTGTCATACTTTACAAAGGCAGAGGGTCCACCTGTTTTTCAGCTGAGGATTTTAATGAGTTCAGATGTGTTCAGTATGTGGGCTGGAATTTGTTTCCATGAGACAACTTTCTTAGGCAAGGCTGTTTGTCCCTTGAAGCAAATAAAATAAGCCATAAATTACAAGGCTTTCATTTGCACAAAAAGACATAAAGCCCTTCAGTATATATTGTTCAAAACACTTTTCTATGACTCAGGGCTGGGATTAGGGTAAAACGAGTGATGCAGGGACATGCAAATACAGGGTTGAGGCCTGCCTTTGGCCCAGGAATTTCACCTACTCAGCTGATTTTAGGAAAATAACCAAAGAGCTGCTAACGGTTCAGTCATCCTTTCATATCCATGGGGGAATTGGTCCCAGGACCTCTCTCAGATACCTAATCAACAGATGCTCAAGTCCCTGATATAAAATGGCATAATATTCACATATGACTTAAGTACAGCCTCCTGTATGCTTTAAATCATCTCTAAATTACTTATAATACCTACTATAATATAAATACTATGTAAATAGTTGTTACACTGTATTGTCTAGGGAAAAGCTACAAAAAAATGTATGTTTTGAACATGCCTTCCCTGAAACAGATGCAACCATTGATTTTTTTCTTGAATATTTTCAATCCACAATTGGTTGATTCCATGTGTACAGATCCCATGGATACAGAGCACTGATTGTATTTAATTATCTACAATTTTGTATTTATATAGTATATATTTATTTATTAGATATAAATTACATACTATTCACCTATATATTAGCCATATATTACCACATATAAACTATGCAAATAGTTTACTTACATATCATGCACACGTATTTTTAACATATATATAAAGATAATAAATAATTGGAAGTAACCTTAATGTCTTATGTCAGGGGATTTAGTATATATATTATCCTATATTCATATGAGGCAATACTAGGCCTCTAGTAAGATCAGTTTTGAAAAATAAATATTTAATGTTATGAAAGAATGCTCTTTATGTAATGGCAATATACTGAGAAAAGAAGAGAAGAAATCTTTATAAGGTTACAATAATAATTTTCTGAATAAACCATACATATACACACATGCACACACACACAATAATAAAAGGAAGTCTGCCTGAATATTAATGTTGATTATGTCTGGGTAATGAAATTATGGATGACTTAATTTATTCTTTATTCCTTCCAATATTCCAAATTTTTTTACAATGAGCATGAACCGTTACTGTTGGGGAAAAAATAAAAAGGAGTAAGTCTCACTCATATGTTTGGAGAGGGTACTCTATTTTTTCACTGCAGGATCAGCCGATCCTTCACTCCCTGCCCTGCTTGTGAGAGAAGATCACTTTCCCTGTTGTTGTCCCTTATAAAAACCTTAGGTGAGATGAGAAGCCAAGAGGAGGAAAAGGGAAGGAAACATGGGGTGCCCAGGCTCTGAAATCTAGCCTAGGTATTCTGAAACAAAGCTGCGACTTTTTGGTTCCATTCCACCTCTAGTTAGACCACCTTATGTAAGCATTTATGTTTCTCATCTTTTTTTTTTTTTTTTGGCATGATGAGATGGATTGGATGAATTGTTCCTGTCTGTGCACGTTGATGCTGTGATAATGCTATGCTTGTGGTAATGTCTGAGTTATACTCCTCAGGCTTAAGTTCCATGTATAAGACCAGGTCCTCTGTGTCTCTGAGATCATTGATTTCAAATATTTTGTTCTCCTGTTAGATTATGTGTTACACTCTTCATTCTAGTTTTTGTTTCACAAAATAGGTTATATAAGGGAAGATGCTCATGATAAATTAAGTGGAAAACATATTTGCCGTATTTACCACTGCTATTACAATATGAGCCATGTTTATAAACGTAAGTGATATCTAGTCATACCATCCCAGTCATATCACCAGGGCTGAGATGAGGCCAGTGGTGGTTACCAAAAACTCTGTAATCAAGACAATAATTTAATGCAGAATTAAAAAAAATAAAATCAATGCCAAAAAATCCGTGATAAACAAAATTTCAAAATTTTAAAAACAGGATGCATTTCCTGCCTAGGTAACCTCACACTAATCCTGGCCCTGAATCATAGAAAAGTGTTATGAAAGATACAGCCTAAGGGACTAACAGTGGTTAAACCTTAATAATGGAGTTAAGATGATATATTTTTAAAGACAGGGTTTTTACTTTTTTTTTTTTAACTACGAACCTGCGTAATTTTTATAACCAGTAGTTTGTTTCTTTAAAATATGCACAAGATATTATTCTGAGAGCACGAAAGGTTTATGGCTGGTCATACAGGAAGCATTGAAACAGTACCTTTTAATGAAGTAAAAATAAAATTAGAAACTATTCCTTCTTAAAAACAAAAATTCATCACTGCAGTGATATATAAACAAAATCTCTCCCTAGTTGGTGCTTCCATAAGATGTGATTCTTGTACTAGTAAAACACGTGTCTCATTGCACTGTAAACCATCACTTCCTACCAATTTCTTATCACTCTCACCTGCTTGTTTGCAACCTCCTTCCAATCAGGCACCGTTTTGCCTTCACAGATACAAACCCTGGGTTTGACTCAGTTCTAGGCTCAGAGTAGATGCTCAGTTAATGTTTCAGCTCTATTTCTTTAGGCAAAATATGAAAGTGTGTTTCCTTGAAGAATTATCAGATATCCTGAAGTACTGAAAGCTCAGAACTCTGGGCACTTTCCTGCTAAAGTTACTGACAAGGTTTTGGCATACTTTTCACAGTCACAATATTCTATCAGGCACTTAGGTGTGTGCTTAGAATTGCTTTCATGTGATACCCTAACACTTGCATACTGTTGGCTCAGCACCTATTGTTGGCACTGAGACAAAGAATTCAGAATTTACCAGAATTGTCCCATTTCCCTCCAAGCTTCCCCACTTCCTCATTGTTAAAATTATAGAATATTGAGATCAATTATCAGGTGATCCTCTCTCCACTTCTCTTCCAGTATCTGACAGATAAAAGTACAGGAGGCCAGGGGTTCCATTCCTGCAGGCTAGCAGCTTAGGACTCCCTCCCAAGCCCTCATTCAGTGCATTTCCTTAGTGTCTCTCCTGAAACTTAAGAGTTTAAAACTCAGTTTAAGTACGCTCCAGGACAGGGTGAAACTTAAGGTACATTTCGTCAACATTTTTCTTTTTTGGCGAAGTCACTGTCAGGTTCCAGGGTCAGGTTTGGGGCCATCGCTACACCAAATGCACTGAATACACTGACATGCTCAGTGTCAGGTTCCAGCCCATGCTGAGGTCTGAGGGGAATGGGTGGGTGGCAGATAGCTGAAAGAATCCTCAGGGAGGGGGTGCGGGCATAGGCAGATGAATATGGTTTTATTCAGCAGCTCTCTCTTCAGCAGCTTTCTCACACTATCCCCCCTGTTTCAGCTGCTAGAGCCGGCTGCTCCCACACACAGCTGCGCGGCTGGCCCGCCCTTCAGGGTCAGCAGCTTAACTCTTTCTCTCTCTGGGAGCAAACCGGTTCCTGGCTCCCCTCCACCCACCCGAGAGATGGATAGCTTTGGCTGGCTCTCTATTTCTCTGGGTGAGAGGACTCCTGTACAGTGTCAGCAGGGCAATTATACCTTTTACAGACAATAGTGGCTTAGAGCTAAGTGATGGCCTTCCCCATGTTGTGGCTACACGGCTGTGATAACAAGTGGAGATATACGCCTGCACCCTGAACTCACCGAGTCACACAGGATGTTTACCTCGGCCTATGCCTGCTTGGCTGGAGCACAGCCATGTTCCTTACAGTCACACAAATAGATTTGTGCGAACTTTTAAAGCTGTCTGAAAAATCCTAGGTTCTAGTCCAGGCTGTGTCACTAACATGCTTTTGCAATTCTTTTAATTTCTTGTGGTTTCAGCTTTCTCATCTATAGAGTGGTTTCTGCCCTACTGGCTACACGAGTGTGAGGATCCAATGAGGTCCTCAATGTGAATGCTTTTAAATGTGTCAGAATACTTTAAAATGCCCTTTTACTCATTAAGTCCATGTCTGGAAACCTATCCTGAAAAAATAATTGTTTAAATTAGCTTGATGTACAAAGATGCTTATAGAAGCTTTGTTCATATGGAAGTAATCTATTTGCCAAATAAAAGAAATGGTCAAATAAATTATAACTTATATTCTGGAATATTTCTGAGTGTTTAAAGTGATGTTATGAAAATAGTATAAAATCAAAATTTTCTTATTACATAATAGTTAGAAAAGTAAAAACCACATTTTGAAGACAATAACAATTTTAAAAAGTCTTTATCATAGAGAATAAAATGGTAGTAAAACTGCCTGAATTAACAGTGTGTATTTTCATTTTCTTTAGTTATGAGTTCATAATAATGGGGTAATTAAAATTTTTGTTATTTTTAAACATAATTTAAAATATATGTTTTAAATGTCATATTGATACTCATTTTTTTTTAACAAACAAATCCAAAATAAAATCCTGGATTATGAAAATAGGTAAGCATTTTGCCATCTCATCATTTTCAAAGCACTTATGCAAATTAGCAAATCAGAATTTAAAGGACACAAGTGACATTAAATAAATCAAGAAGCTGTTTATCTTCTCAAGTACAGATTTTTTGGTGGGAGGGAGAGGTGTATGGTGTTTGGAAACATGACCTCTTTGGTGTTTCCAGGAACCGTTTGTTCTTTCTTAGCGAGTGACCTAACAGATCACTTAGCAAGAAGAGAGCATCTCTAAGCATTCTCTCTGCTTAGTATGACCCAGGCCACCAGGCACCAGAGGACCCGCTGGCCTCGCCTGTCCTTGGGACCCTCTTCCCTGACCTCTTGGCTCTGGTCACATGGGCCTGATGATCGCATTCCAAGCAGCTGCTGTTTCCTCTGCCAGGACTGCCCCATCTCCGGGTCTTCATGTGGCTGGCTCTTTCATGCAGCTCAGGTTCATCTGAAAGGTCACTTCCTCTGAGCAGCCTTCCTGGACTACTTCGTTAAAAAATACTCCCTCCCCAGACCACTTCCCCAGTCAGTAACTCTCTGTCATCCCGATTAACTGCTTTCCAATCTCACCGATCACTTTGTGAAATAATCTTGTGCACTGATTGGCTGACTTGTTTAGCTTCTCGCAGCACCTTCCCACCAGCTCCCTCGTCCTCATGGAAGCAGCATAAGAACAGCGGCTTCATTTGTTTGATTCCCTCATGCTTCTCCAGCACACACCGCACTGGAAGCATTCAATACATGAACTTTTGCTGCCTATTTTACTGCTTTTGTTCGTGACTTTATGAGGCTGATGAGGTTGTTATATAACGTTTCTATAAATTATAAGGTAGGATGTTATTAAATACTTCTTTCTTGTCACTGTGATCCTCATTAGAGGTTTGGCCAGATCATTCCAGACTCATACGGAGTGATGAGTGTCCCTGCCCAGAGCTGAGGGCCAGGGCCATTACAGGCAGAAGGTGCTGTGTGCCAGCTGAGGAGATGTGGACAAGTTTCCCTGCTCCTTGGTCTAAGATCTTTCTGAGAGTATGTCGTAAGGGAGACAGAGAAGGGCTGATTTATTTTGGAGAGGAGGAAGTAAGGAATCATTAAATGTCCCCAACATTCCCAGGCCATGCCATTGTTTCTAAAGATGCCCAGCTGACTCCTGACCAGCTAGAACAGCAAGAATGGCTCCACCCAAGAGTGTGTAGCCCAGGGATCCGCAGCTCCTGGGCTGCACGCAGGAACCAGTCTGTGGCCTTTTAGGACCCCGGCCCCACAGCAGGAGGTGAGTGGCGGGCCAGCATTACCGCCTGAGCTCTGCCTCCTATCAGATCAGCACAGGCATTAGATTCGCATAGGAGCAGAAACCCTATGGTGAAATGTGCATGTGAGGGATCCAGGTTGCACGCTCCTTTTGAGAATCTTAAGCCTGATGATCTGAGGTGGAACAGTTTCATCCCCAAACCATCACCCCCCAGCCTCCTGCTTCCCATGTCCATGTAAAACTGTCTTCCATGAAACTGGTCCCTGGCTGGTCTAGCCTTATTCCTTCATAGACTAGTCAGGGGTGGCTATTTTTTTTCTGCAAAGGACAATAATTAATATTCTTTGCTTCTAGGCTAACCTCTGCCATTGTGGCACAAAAGCAATCCTAGACAATCTGTAAACTAAGGGGCAGGGCCAACTGTAGTTTCCCTGAACCTTGGATTAGAAGGTTCCCAACACCTCAGATCCATTCTGGCCTCAGCATGGCTCTCCTTCCGGAGGTCACAAAACCTCTTTAGTTTCAGAATCACAGTGGCATGAGGCAGGGTAGGGAAAATTACATTTGGGAAGAAGGCACCTAAAACTAGGTGGCTTGGACAAAATACAATTGAATAAAGATCCCAGTATCCTGAGTTACTTTGAAATTAGTTCATCTAAAAGTGAGCTAAAGTCAAAGGAAGTTCAATTCAATATGGCTGTGCTGGGCATCAGCTGTGCTGTTCATCTGTGGAGCTGATATTTAAGTGTTTAATGACTGGTACGGCTGGGGAACTGACCAGTTAATAAGGATGAGTAGCAGAAACAATCGGTAGGGACATGCCATTGCACATGGGTGGAAATCAGCTCTATGATGCAGACAGCCAAGCGGTACACAGGTGCAGCCTGGCAGGCAAGAAAGCAGCCCTGAGGCAGAGCTAGTGATCACAGGTATGCTATAATGTTGGCAGACTCTTGAATAGGCCTGTGTACAAAAACATTTCCTCTACATATCTTTCACTAATGTTGGAAATTCCATCCTTAGACATCCATTTCTTTAGGTTAAGGATGCCACCCTTCTTTTAAAAACAAAAAACGCTTGGAAGCATATATATAATATATATAGAGAATAATTTTGAATCAAGTAGTCTTTGCAAAATTTCTAATATGAATCATTTCTATCAGACCCTTTCCAGCAGTCATATAGGAGAGATGTTAAAAGAGGAAAATACACAAAGTTTAAGTACATAAACTTTGTACTTTGTACTTACTACATAAACTTTGTTATGTACTTTGTACAGAAACTTTTACTTCATTGGGGAGTATGCTTTAGGGAGAAAAGGCCCTCAAATGAGAAGTGGGTTGGCACCCAGGAAGAACTTAGTCCACTTTAAATTTTGATCAGGGTCACCTTGAATATAAGAGCCTTTTAAAAAGTGTAAACACAGGAAATCTCTTCGTTGTGACTGCTAAAGCTTAGCACTAAATTCACAACCTGCCTCTAGCGTGCAGATTATTCCTCGGTTTTTATTTTTCTGCTTCTGTTTTTCATCCTACATCATTCCTGAGAAGTACTTGTTTGGTCCTTTTATATTGTATGGTTTTCACAAGCCACCTGGAATTCTTTATGAAGCAAGATAACTAGGTAGATATATATTTATGTATTTATTCAGTCATGTAACATGGTACACCTAATATGCACCAGACACCAATCTAGATGGACAGAAGATAGCATCGATCATACTTCAATGGACTCACATAAAATGATTTTAAAAGAACAATAGAATTTTTTTCTTATTTTCTCACTATGCCCTTTTAGGTTTTCTAGGGCAAAGGAGCAAGAAGGAATTGGGCAAAAGTTCACAAACCTGTGCGAGGCGGTAGTTGTTCCTCCAGGTCCTGGGGGAGGCTGCAACTAGGGAGGGGGCTGCAGTGGAAAACTTCAAAGCCATGATGAGGAGGACAGCAAGGCCAGATGCAGGGAGCACCTTCATCCCCTCACAGTAGCTTGGTAATTATATCAGCCTGGGGGATGGCAGACAGTGCACGTTTGCACTTCGACCTTGAGCTCCTTTTATAGAGTCAAACAGGTCTGGACCCTCTGAGCAAGGATGATTCATGTCTCAAACAGTAATTATACAGCTCATTTCTCTCCCTGATGATGGGGTAACACAACTGTACACAGAAATCAGGGAAAGCTTCATTTTTTTTTTTTTTTGTTATTTGCCAAGTGGCAAAAGGAGAAGAACAGTCACTTTTAATGAAGTTTGTCAGCTAGTTACACAAATTGAAGTAAACTTGATTGATTTGAACCCAACTCAGCTGAAACATTTGATTAGTCTTAATTTGGGGACCTTTTGCCATTCTGATTACAGAAAAGATAGATGATTACAGTATAATTGAATTTGTCCTCCAAGTAATCCCAAACTCCCCATGCATTCAACCTAATCGCCTCTATCTTCTGCATTCACTTCAAAATTTTTCAGTAGCCACTGCTGTTCATAATGACGGCTCTGAGACACATAAGATCCTGAATCATCAAGGCAAGATTACATTATACTGTGCTGACGTAGGGTGGAAAGCGAACCGATAACTGTTAGAAAGCCTTTGAATAAATTAAGACAAGAGTTATGTCTTAGTTAACCAAAACATTAACCAGAACTCCCCAATCTATGCGCACTCTGGTTAATTGGAGTCATATTGTTTTTTTCTGGTCTGATTAAGATGGATTTTGATCCAGAGATGATATGGTGAAATGGTATCATATGGTGGGAAAAGCACTTAGAGTCAGACAAAGCAAAATTAAATTTTTAAAAAGATATTTCCTAGCTGTGTGATGTGGGGCATGTCATTTAATCTCTGTGAACGTTAGTTTTTTTTAAATCTACAAAAGACTGACAATACTACCACTATGTATAAACTTTTCAAGGTTATGGAGTAACACACATAGCATGACATCTGCTAGCGCCACTTGGCATCTCTTAGATGTGGATTCAAATCCTAATTTTGATTTTAGACTAGATTCAAAGTTATTCCTATAGTGAATATAGTGAATTCCTATAGTCTTTCTCACTCTGTTGCATTTTGATATACTTTCTTGCATGGAAGAGAAAGTGATGGAGTTATAGCCAATGTGTAGTATCTAGTGTACAACCCCAGGTACTCAACAAGAGTTTGTCACACATTGATATGGTTTGGCTCTGTGTCCCTAACCAAATCTCATCTCGAAATGTAGTTCACATGTGAGGAGGGAGGTGATTGGATAATGAGGGTGGTTCCTCCATGCTGTTCTCATGATAATAAGTGAGTTCTCAAAACATATGATGGTTTTATAGGTGAAAGTTCCTTCTTTGCTCTTCTGTCTCCTGCTGCCTTGTCGAGAAGGTGCCTGCTTCCCCTTTGCCTTCCGCCACAATTGTAAGCTTCCTGAGGCCTCCCCAGCCATATAGAACTGTGAGTCAACTAAGCCTCTTTCCTTGATAAATTACCCAGTATCAGGTATTTCTTTATAGCAGTGTGAGAATGGACTAATACACACATGCAAACAGAATTTCTGGCATGTACTATGAGATACACAAAACATGTGTTTCAGAAGAAGAAAAAAGAAAACCACAGATTAGATTAATTCAACTAACTAAATTGTAAGCTCTTTGAAGATTGTATTCTAAAAAATGTCACTTAATCAAGTTTGTTAAGAAAAGAATGAATCAATGTACAAACATATACTAATCGTCGCTTTTTGGTTTCAGGAAAGGAATAGGATATTGCAATACTTTTTCAAAATTTGCATTTATTTGGTCTCCTGTCTTCTAGAGCCCTATCTTCAGCAGCTTCCAAAATTGAAGAACAAAGAGAATCCTTAAAACTTCCCTTCAACTAGTCATCCTCTTCCCTTTTTTTCTCCTTTAAACACTGTTCCAATTCATTATGAGGGCCCCAATGCAAAAAAGACATGGAAGTGAACATTGGAGTGAAAGTAATGATGGTAAGAAATTCTGGGGCCAATAGAGAGAAAATATTCTCACCTCTAGGACTCTATAGAGTAATCTAAATTCTGTTTTTGGAAGCACATGGAAGTTTAATAACTGCCTGTAGGGTGTGATCTAGATACTTCTAGAAGGTTCCAGTATCCACTTTTCTAACACATAAATGCAATCAATCCCAATATTCTTAAGTGCAACATTTTAATTATCAAGTGCAAAACTTTTGAAGAGGAATAGCAATTTATGTTCTTATAAGTCATTTATATATTAGTGTGACTAAATCTCACCTCAGAGTCAGCCCTAGGCAACATCTTTGACCTTTCCAGAGAGAGGATAATAAAGTAAATGTCTGGTAGTTCCTTACTATGATTTTCCTTTCCTGATTTTTCTTTCTTCACAGGGGAGCAAAGGTCTGCTTTTTTTCTATCATTCTTGTATTAACTCTAAATTAAAACCCAAATCACTGAAGTCTAAAAAATCATATCAAAGCAAGTCAATGACTAAAAGAAAATGAAATGAGAGATCCTATCAGAGAAATATGAAAGGGAAAATACCACTGATTAAATAACAGTTAGGGGAAAAATAAATCATTACACCATTAAATGTATATGTTGATATACTATATGTTATTATGTGCTTATTGTCTTTCACCAGTAGAATGTAAGTCCCATAAGGGTAAGAACTCTATATATTCTGTTCACAGCAGCATCTCTAGTGCATAGAACAGTACCTAGCATAAAATAAACAGCTGTTGAACAAACGAATGTATAAATGAGTGATTAATTGAATGATTAAAGATAGAAAGAAGAAAAATAAGATTGTCCTTAGAGGGACAAATTTTAAATCAACCCATATAATGGATCAAATGAAGGTGTATAGCATCACTCTAAGAAACTAGAACCTTTATTAAACTCACAGTATATGCCAGACATGTAGCCAAGTACCTTATGTACATTTTCCACACAACTTTGTGATGCGCTATTTTTCAAGTGAAGAAATGGGCTCATGGAGGATAAATGATTTGTGAATTTCACATAGATATTAAGGTGGTGGCTCCAAGATTTTCACCCCGTTCTGTTAGACATCGAAGCCTGTGTTCTTTACAGGAAGTGTACGTTGGTGCCTTTGTGGAGCAGTGCCTTGGGAACATGGTATTTCAAGTTGGCTGTCAGGGAGATCCCTAGGCTTATTCTAGCTCCCCGGCAGCTCCCTGGCACTCCCGTGTGTCTGGACTGAGCAGAAGTTGGGCCAGCTAGACTGTGCAAGCTCCCTGGCTGGTGATGATGTTTCTTATTGCAAATGACTCCTATGTTACTCTGGTTTCTGTTTTTCAATCTTTAGTGAATTTAAGTTTCATAAATGATTAAATTTCTGGATTTCCAAAGAATTCAGTTACAACCTGGTAAATTTTTCAGAATAAGGGATGCTTCTCATTGAAGCAGGATTCTGAGTGATCAGTCACCAGCTACATTTTATTCTATATCCAACCTTACCATGGCCATCCTTTCAAATGACTCCAGTAAATATATGCCACTTTGAATGGCTGACTCTAAAAAATGTTTATTTATAAATGGCTGACTCTAAAAAATGTTTATTTACATAACTTATATATCACATCATATTCTATTTTGTAATGGTATTTTTTTAAGTTTAGAAATTTATTATTAGAATATAGAATAACATGAACCATATTCTGAATTTCTAGAGCACACATATTCTAGAATCAGATGGAATAAAAATAGAGGAAAGAAAAAAGTGTATTTAAAACCAAAGACTACCCCCAGAATCTCATACAAAAAATGAGTGAATGATCTTACCTCATTTGTGAGAATGAGAAGCTCAGAGAGGACCTTGGCAAGCTTATATCCAGAAGCCAACTGGTTTATTTTCACCAAGAACAGAAAAAGAAAGAGAAAAGGGAAGAGAAGGGAAGAAAAGAAAAAAAAAAAAAAACATTTACTTTGTACTGTAGGTAATTTTGGTTAGAGAGGAAGAAGCAAACAGCCTTCTGATTCGGCAATCTTTAGCATTAAAATGAGCTATTAAAGAAGGTTGTGAGGTTGCCTTCAGCAGTCTTTGAGTACAGGGTAGAGCATCATGCTTTTAGAAAAGATTGGGTTCAGTGGGGTTCTGCCTGTCTGCTCAGGCTTGGGGTATGTGCACAGAAGTTAGATTAGATTGATCTGCCAAGTTTTATTCATATATATATATACACACACACAAATATATATAATTTATAAATACTTATTGATATAATTTATATATATACAATAAGTAAAATATCTTCATATTTTCAATAAATATTTATTAAGTATCAATTATTTGTTAGGCACCAGGAATACAGAGATATGAGACACTGTTTCAACACTCTGGGAGCTCAAAACTTACTGCTGCAGTAAAATTGAACTTGGAGTAAAATCTTAGATAAAGATCGACTGAATCTTAGTGACAAAAAACATGTCTTTACATTACAAATTGGTAGAATCCTTCTAAAGAGCTATAAATGATTTAGCAATGTATAAAATATGAAAAGGACAATTTTAACCAAAACGGCAAATAAAAATTACACAACATTTGATTCTATATCTGCTAAAGAGAAGTATATAGGAAAAAAAAAAAAAGGGAAACCTGGGGTAGAGAAAACAGTAGTGTGAGGGTGTTAGGGCCTTACACCTATAATTCTTATACAATTTCCTTTAATGCTACCATGCATTTTTTCAAAACAGTAAGTGAAAGTGTGAAAGACTGTGTCAATGTACCCTTTATATTTGTATTTGAGTAAACAGAAGACATAGATAACGAACCCACTGGCATATTTAACTCATTCATTTGTTCGGTTGTGAGTCTTCTTTCTATTTACTCAGTCTAGAACTCTTGTATTTATTCTATATGCTGGCACTAGGCTTAGTCCTGGAGGTACAAAAGGCAAATAAAACCTGTCCTTAACCAGAGTCTTAGAATCTCCAGGGAGAGGCTCAGATATAAACTCAAAATATCTTACAGTGTAATTAGTAACAAAAGAAAGGTACTTAAAGGTCCAAATGAGGGCAGAAGAGGGAA